ACAAAGAGGAAAATTGTTCCATCCTCACAGAGGATCAGTCTAAACGACTCAGGTGTAGATTGACTACAAGTTCTACCAAGTGCAGCGGGGCTGCCGTGCTAAGTGCTTGAGGAAGCGTACTTCTGGTCACCGACCTTTCGCTCTTTACAAGAACCCAGTATGAGTTAGCTGATCGCAATCCGCTTACTCCAAGAGTAATTATTGCCGTCCCAAGGCTAATTGACTTTTCGGTTTCAATTCATAACTGATTTTTATCTATTTTTAACCAAATTTAAAAGTTTAGATCTTCCTAGTTATACTGAATATATATAGTAAATCTGGATACATGCATAACTACTGGCTACCTAGCCCCGTACCGTATTCTTGTTTGGGTGTAGTCACACCATGCACACCTTGTGTGACACACACACCCATGTTATCAGGGTTTGTAAAACCCCGTTACAGCGGGAGCCCCGCTGCAGTACAGGTCCACTTGCAAAAAATGGATGATCGGACGGGCGAAGACCTAAAGGCGAGGTGGAAGCATGATGAAATCGATGCAGACCACAATACGTGCAATTTTCGCCTGATATTAGAGAGATATGAATATCATTAGGTCTCAATTCTTCAATTATCATTGTACAACCTACTTTTCTTACGGACTACTAGCACTACGGTAAGCTGATCGATCTTAATCGTGAGCGGCCAAGTTTCTTCAACAGCGTCTAACTTTCCAAGGCGTGCTTGTTCCTCATACCGATGACGTCATATACAGAATTCTGCTGGATGCACGATGCTCTTCTAAAAATATTTATAATAGAGCAAATACGTTGGTCTCCCTGGGTACTATGTTCTGGTGAACCTATGTGTACGAATGGGTGACTACTTGTGCGCACACGTGTATAACGTGTCAAAGAGCAAAATTTCACCCCATGCTTTTGGCGTCCTGGCAAGGGAAAGCTTTAAGAACCCATTAAAATTAATCGTCACCTTACTTTCCCTGCTAATGATTCGGGTAATACTGATTTGTAGTCACTGTGGCCGGTAGAGCAAAGTGGCCCACCTTGCCGCTATCAGCGACACTGTTGTCAGTGAACATTAGGCCAAGCTGTGTCTAGATGTAGTATCTTAACAACATAACTATCTGTAACAGATAGCTCGTATCAAAACTGGCGCTTACAGCAAAATTTTGGCGAAATTTGTTCATAGTGCTTGGCATTAGATTAAATATTCACACAACAGATTATCCACAGAACAATCGTCATAAAAAACATTTATATTGCGCGGTAGAGACAATTATCGGACGCAGAAGAGGATATTGATCATAGTGCGGATAAAATACGCTCCCTCACATTGAGTTTGCGTTTAACCACGCAGATCGTACCTCTACAGATCCCGTCTTACTTTTTACTTAATGCATTGGTTAACCCCCGCGCCCCTTGACACGTCCACGAAGTAAATTTGATTTTAGGGTAATCAATACTGTCCAACTTGATTATATCAACCGGATGTACCCGCAGCATAAGCAATGATTTTATCACCCGATTAATCTCATATGAAATTAACGTGAAAGATTAAGCTTTTAGCGTAGTAAATGTACCTTCACATCCAGTATCTCCTGTTTTTCAGACAAAGTATTTATCTCGCCACACGGCCGGAAACGGTTCAGTTTGCGCTCTTACTCTACTTTGTGTTTGACATAGGCTTCTCAAGCTTCATTGCAAATTCGTGCTTATAATCCATGCTTCGCTCTGAGTCCAAATGACTGCAGTACAATGTGTGCGCTCACTATGATAGATTACCACCCTGCCACACTACATCGTTGGGGTCACAAATCGTGATTTCGTCCCGAGCTTCATTAACACATTTGAGTGCGAGCTCTACAAGCACGAAGTACTCAAAAGTTCATCTTCTTATTGATTATCTAAGCTTTTGCTCAGCGATCCGCCAACAAAGACGCGGAATCTGTGGTTAGCGACATTAAGCCTTATTCGGTGCGGAAGGTGGGGCGCTTTCAAATGAAATAGTCAGAGACCCAACCTGAGGCTTCTTCAGAGGCTAAAGAGCTTTGCAGCTTTTTGTCAATTAAAGTTATCTCTGGCTTAACCGCTACAATAGCCACACTATCCACGTGAGCTGCACCAACTATATCATCACCAGTTATATACCAGTTCGGTACCAAACGCTAGGGAATTTAACTGATTTAGAATCACTTTTTTTATTAAATTTTTTTTTAAATAAATTGGAGATGTATACCATATCGGTAACAACTGGTTTATCGTCAGATAAAAACACGTACTTTCTACCAATCGAAATTAAATAATCAGAAATTATATCAAACACAAAGACGTTATTCACAATATACTCAGCAACGACAAGACATGGACAGCTCAGATGATGACCACTAAGCTGAAGCCGGTGACTGCGTTCGCTCCATTTCGGCCTCGTCACCTGACGAGGCCGAAACAGACAGCTTCTATGTTGCACGTTCATGTACCAACAGAGAGGAACTCATTTGAGCTATTGACACGTACAATCACAACCATGAACGAGCATTCAAAATTAAGTCAAGTGATATCCGCAGATACAGAACCGCATGTGTTGACCCAAAGTGCAAATTCGACGTCTCATTTGTGTATGGAAGATGATTCGGCCGCTGCAAACTTTCTCTCATCACAAGTGCGACCCGACGGGTGTCAACTTTGACGACCACGACGACCACGACGCCCGAAGCGCTCTCGAAAGAACGTACGTCGTACAACTTCAAGAAGTGCGCCAATCTGTCGCTGTCAAGGGCCGGCATGCTAGTCCACCTTCTGTTAAAAGATTTTCCGTCAGTCACGTATCGAAGCTATGCTAAAGCTTGTAGCCAGTCGGAAGCCATGCTGTTTAAAGAAGACAGGTCACAGTATCAGTTATTTGTGTCCTATATCCACAAAAAAGACAAGAGTGGACATAAAGCAAATATCGTACAGCACAACAACTTGATCACGCGTCTGGTCGTCGTCTTTAAGCAGAGGATCTAAGCGGCTAGCGTTTTTGCCGACCGAGGCTTCAGTATAGATGAAGTAGAAGCGCGGAGGGACGCTCCATTTCGCATGATTTCCGAACAGTAACGAGATCCCATTCCTGTTTATTGCGAGGGTCTCTGGTGAGAACATGGATAATAAAATGGTCATGCTATCTCAAATGGATGCGCCGTTCACTTTCTGTACTATTGTTTGTCATTTTGGATCGCGACAAAGGTCTGATGCTGGTAATGGAAGTCGAAGCAGCCGACGTGCTGTCTATGTCAGATGATTGAGAATTTCAGCGCCAATTTAAAAACAAGGCTCTGCGAGACGGCTCATGGCGATTGAAAAAAGCTCTGTTTGTAGCGTTCTACAATCGACGGGCGGCCGACCTATAGGCAAAGAGCCTTTAAACATTGGAATGAATCAAAGCAGTACTCGAAGAAAAGTGGTCGGCTGCGCACTGACCGAAAAAAATATATAGTGTAATGAGGGAACCCGGTCCCAAAAAAACGGATAGCCGCGCCAGAGAAGGCTTAATCCTAAGGTACCGGTAGCTTAAATCTCTTTCTACTGAATATACGTCTTACAGAAGTAACGTTCATTTTTCAAACTTGCGCAAAATGTTAAATGCGGCGACGTATTGCAGTGCAGTGTGCTTAAGGCTGTACTCGCTGTTGGATAGTCCTATTTTGTCAAAAAGTGCCGGCATGTTCTCAACAGGCTTGCGTAGGTGATCATGCGAGACAAAGTTGCTTAGGAACTCGTCGATCAGCATATCTATATGCGACACTGTGTAGCACGGCGAGTACTGTACCTCAATGACGAGACCTCGCGGAAGATTGTTTCGGGACATGAACGTGCATACGCTCACCACAAAGTCGCCTAACACATACTGTGTTCCCTGCATCACACCAACACAACAGAAAGCACGGCAGGTTTGGCTGCGAGCCATAACTTCATGTTACTGATTGACCATACCTCAAACTGCCCATCCGATTTAAAGGCGTAGATCTCAACTTGTTGAAAAATATTAGCTCCATCAAGCCCACACTCTAGCAGAGAGCAATCTTCCATTAGCCCCTCAATTCCATTGTCGCTAGGTGCTAGAGTGTGTGCCTTCTCATTGGCAAGGACTGCGTACACCAAATCGTCGATTTGTGACATCCTCAGCATGAACATGCGCTGGTTCATATATCCATCTATAGGCCAGAGTATATTAGTCTTGAATCCCCCACCAAATGGTATCATTCCATTACTTGTAAGCGTCTTTCGATTGAACAGACGACAGTGCACCACATGCCGTCCGACCTTCTCGCCGCCCATAGTCTCAAGCTTGCGCAGCAATTCCTGATACTTCTGCGTTATGTTGACATCCTGAATGATCACCACTCTGAAATATGAGGCAAAGCGAAGTCAGTTGGACTAGCTCATTGCAGTAAGGGGGCGAGCTCACCTGGTCATGCCTGTCATGGTTTTACTTGGTAAAATCTATTGTAATTTTCAGTGTTACGTTACAATAACACACACGTTTTGACAGATGGAGGTACGCGAAGAACTGGGTGTTGCTATGGCGCTCTTTGGTTGCGCTGAGGGCAAGCCGCATACTGAAGACGAAGAAATCGACGGCTTACATTTACTGCCTTCCTTTGCTATGCCGCTACTGCCCCACAACAACGAGGAAATAGAAGCCGCAGTACTCAATAGCGTTGAAAGAGATAAGGTGGTGGGACTACAAGTGCGAGACACTAATTTTCAGACACTGGAGACAACAATGAAGGGACTAGACGTAGCAACAATCAGTGCAGATATTGGAGATGAGGAAGCGGATAAACGCGTTGAAGACTCCAATATTCAAGCAATGGTGACATTAAGGGACGATGCAATGCTCAGAACGAAAGCACAAGAGATGCTGACGAAAAAGCAGTATCTTGTTGCCGCAGATGCTGCAGATCTGGCTGCAGGAACTGTTGAGCGACGTGGCTACCAATGTCGCTTCAAAAACTGTTTCAAGTTTGCACAGGCAGGTGGATATTGTATCGCCCATGGTGGTGGATATCGCTGTCAGACACCGTTCTGCGCCTTTTTCAATTTGCGCACGTGTCCGGATCATGGAGGCTCAAAGCGGTGCGGAGTCACTGGATGCACTCGAGTAGCTCTTGGTTCTTTGGCACTGTGTTGTGCACATGGTGGGGGCCGAAAGTGCTCCTACAAGAATTGCGACAAGTATGATGCTGGGCAGGGTCTATGCTTGGCCCATGGGGGAGGGCGTGATTGTACAATGAGTGGCTGCTCTAAGAAAGCCATTCGCTACGGCCTATGCAGTAGCCACGGAGGTAGGGCGCGTTGCAAGGTGGACGGATGTGAAAAGTATGATAGAGGTCAAGGCAAGTGTAAAGCGCACGGGGGTGGCTACTTTTGCAAAATTCAAGACTGTAGCAAAAAGGATAAAGGGGGTGGTCTTTGTGTTGCCCATGGTGGTGGCAAGAAATGCTATGTCGAAGGGTGCACCACACCTTGCGTTGGTGGAGGCCGTTGCAAATTGCACGGAGGCGGTAAACGATGCCAGACTGATGGGTGTCGCAATTGGGCCCTCAATGGCGGTCGTTGTAAACAGCACGGTGGCACAGGCAAGCGCTGCTCGCGTCGTGGATGTGAAAAGCATGATCAAGGAGGTGGATTTTGCCTTGCTCATGGTGGCGGCTTCACATGTACCTTTTTAGGTTGTACAAAAAAACAGGTGACGATAGATTTGATTCATTGTGACGGTTTGCGTAGGCTCACGTTACATTTTGCTTATAGATCCGATTTGGGCGTTGTTGTGCGCACGGTGGAAAGCCCCGGTGCACCGTGGCGGGCTGTGAACGTCTAGGGCAGGCACGCGGACTTTGTAAGGCGCATGGTGGAACAAAGCCCTGCATTGTTCCGGAATGCACGCGCAAGGCTAACAGCGGAGGTCGCTGCATCCGTCATGGCGGTGGGGGTCGCTGCAAAAGTGAGGGATGCATCAAGACGAATCGCGGTGGTGGCTATTGTAAGGCGCACGGAGGTGGTAAAAAGTGTACTTTATCTGACTGCAATGAATGGGCTATAGGCGGTGGCGTATGCCCACAACATGAGTTATTCACCGCAGCCGCAGTTGTCTCCGTATGACGTAGCGAGACATCGATTCATCGTGTACTGTGCGAGTTTATTCTCAAAATCAATTTTAAGTGCTTCATTGCATTCAATGATACAAAGATTACACCTCAAACATTTGTTTACAAGTAAGCAAGACCCGAATTAATCGATTCAACCTCTGTGGGCGATAACGGTAAGCGTTTGACATTGTCGAACGGCAAAACATCGGGACTTGATGGAAGAATGGGCAATGCACGCTGTGATGGTGGTGGCAGATAAGATCCCAGCGACTTAGACAAAGGCAATGGTTTTGCTGGCAGTAGCGAACGCTTGCCCAAAAACTTGATGACCGGTTCGCGGCCCCGAGGCGTCACATTAGCATTCTTCGCAGAAGATGCAGACTCTGAAGATGTAGCATCCGACGCCTGGACAAACTTGCTAGAGCTGGTGGGAGCTAGCGCGTCGTCTACCATGAAGAGCGGTTTTCCTACTTCCACGTTATCTTCCAGCTGGGCTAGTAACTCGACAACGGTGCCAGCCACGGGACTAGTTACATCTACGCTGACCTGAAAAATAACACCACTTCAAGTGAGCAACAATACCTTCTTATACGTTTGGTCGGCACCTTATCGGTCTCGAGCACAAGCACCACTTCGTCCGCTTGCACCACATCTCCTGCATTCTTTAGGATTTCTACAAGCGTTCCCTCACTTATTGAATCTCCCATGGAGGGCACGTTGATCGTCTGAACAGCTTGTCGGCCTGCGGATGCATGGAAAGCGCGACGCAGCGAAGATAGCATCGCAATTTGGTATGGCCAAGTATCTCAAGTGCTACGTATGATAAAAAAAGGTTCCACATTTTTTGCCGAAATATTAATAAAAAAATGGGGCCTAGCTATTTTATATACCAAATCCATACTTTACTCTCAACAATTGAGTCTCGTGGTGTCTGTATAATCATCGCTTAATTATTGTGGCAAGTCAAATGAGGTTTTCAGATGTAAGTCTCAAACCATAAGTTATAATATCCATTCATCACATATATCCATCTTGCAAATACAGCATTTTCATTGACTCAAAGACCTGTCTACACTTCATCGAGGTCATTCATCTGATAAGCCAAAATGTGATGGTGTGGTTGCAAAAGCGGGCTTCGTATTGGCTACTTAAAGTAAGTATGTTCATATATGTGAGTAATAAGGAAGACTTGGTGAACGACGGAGAGGCTAGCAACAACTCAGGAGGTCGACACCAGGAGCCAGACGATAGGTACATTGTTAATACCAGTAGAACTATTGTATTATATTTTATTTCATTTCGAAGATGTTTCCAACAAAACTTGATGAGAATTTAAGTATCAAACGGATTTTCCCGATTAGAGTCCGGTCTTCTATTTATTAGTACCGGACGCAAGCCCAAAAAATCTGGATTTTTTTTTCGAGAAAACAGAATATTTTAGTGACAATGTGAAAATAGCGATTTTGGTTTTCGAAGTACGTC